GCTGGTTTTAGCTGGTCGACCAGTCTGGTTATAGAGAGGTTTTGGTCACTTCCAGGCTGGTTTCCAGCCATTTCCAGCCTGGTCTTACCTGGTCAGGCTGGAAAGTGACCAGCTAAAACCATCTAAAACCAGCATGACCATCCTGGTTTAAGCTGGACATAGCTGGTTTTGGCTGGGCTCCCAGCCTGGCTAGACTGGTCAAGCTGGTTTTAGCTGGTCATCTCCCAGCCTGTCAAGCTAAGGCCAGGGCTGGAAATGGCTGGAAACCAGCCTGGAAGTGGCCAAAACCTCTCTAAAATCAGGCTGGTCAACCAGCTAAAACTACAGCCGACCATCCTAGGCTGGTTTAAGCTGGATTTTTCAGCAGGGTTAGCTTAGCATAGACTCTTCTGTTGCTGTTTTTATTTTAAGATTTGGCCCAAAACTATACTCTCATTTCTGAATAACAATCAAGGAACTTTGCTGATAAAGCAAGAGTCCAGCTTTAAATAGGAAAATTATTTAAACACTTTGGTTATTATGGACTTAGATCCTAATAATCTGATCGGATTTAATGATCAATGCTAAGCTAAGCTTTAAAAAAAAGGCTCCTAAAAGCCCTACTGAAAAAACAGCTTAAATCGGCCTAGGCTTGTTGGCTGGTTTTAGCTGGGTAACCAGACTGGTTTTAGAGGGGTTTTGGTTTTGGCCACTTCCAGACTGGTTTATAGCCATTTCCAGCTTGACCAACCTAGCCAGGCTGTGAGCCCAGCCAAAACCAGCTATGTCCAGCTTAGACCAGGCTGGTTAAGCTGGTTTTAGCTAGTTTTAGCTGGTCATTTTCCAGCCTGTCCAGCTAAGACCATGCTGGAAATGGCTGGAAACCAGCCTGAAAGTGGCCAAAACCACTATAAAACCAGGCTGGTCAACCAGCTAAAACCAGCTTAGGCTGGTTTAAGCTGTTTTTTTTTTTTTTTTTTTTTTTAGCAGGGAGAACCAGCGAACAGCTAAATAAATAAAAAAATGGTAAAAATGGAAGTTATAATTGCATATTAGTTAATACAGTGTGTGTGTGAGAATGAAACACACACACGCACACACACACACACACGCACACACACACACACAGATACACACACACACACACACAAACATACACACAC